ATTTTTTCATATTTCTCTTCGCCATTTTTATGTCCTTTTTGAAGAGGTGTTTATTTAGGTCCTCTGCCCATTTTTTAATTGGGTTCTTTGTCTTCCTTTTGTTGAGTTCTATGAGTACTTGGTATATTTTGGAAAGTAACCCCTTATTTGATGTATCATTGGCAATTATGCTCTCCCATATAGTGTGTTCCCTTTCCACTTTGATGGTTCGTTCTTTTGCTATGCAGAAGTGTTTTAGTTTGATGTAGTCCCACGTATTAATTTATTCCTTTGTTTCTGTTTTCTTAGGCGTTGTATCAGTGAAAATTCTGCTGTGTGTGATGTCTGAAATTTTGGTGCCTATATTTTCTTCTATGATTTTTATGGATTCATGAGTCACATTTAAATTCTTTTATCCATATTGCATTTATTCTTGTGTAGGGTGTAAGTTGATGGTCTAGTTTCAATTTTTTTTGCATGTAGCTGTCCAATTTTCCCAACACCATTTATTAAAGTGGCTATCTTTATCTATTGTATGCTCTTGCCACCTTTGTCAAATATTATTTGAGCATAATGTCTTGGATCTATTTCCGGCTTTTCTGTTCTGTTCTATTGATCTGTATGCCTATTCTTGTGCCAGTACCAGGCTGTTTTGATTACAGTGGCTTTGTAGTATAACCTGATATCTGATATTGTGATTCCTTTTACTTTGGTCTTCTTTTTCCAGATTGCTGTGGCTATTTGGGGTCTCTTTTGGTTCCATATAAACTTTTGAAGAATTTGTTCTTGTTCTGTGAAATATGCCGGTATTTTAATGGAGATTGCATTGAATCTATAGATTGCTTTGGGTAATATGGACATTTTAATGTTGTTAATTCTTCCAATCCATGAATGAGGCATATGCTTCCCCTTTTTTGTATCTTAATCTATTTTTTTCCCCAATGTTCTGTATTTTTCTGCAAATAGGTACTTTACTTTTTTGGTTAAGTTTATTCCTAGATATCTTGGTAGTTTTTGCTGCAGTAGTAAATGGGATTGTTTTTTCAGTTTCTCTTTTAGTGAGTTCATTATTGGTGTATAAGAATGCTATTGATTTGTTGAGGTTAATTTTGTATCTTGTTACCTTACTAAATTCTCTTATTAAATCTAGTATATTTTTGATAGAGTATTTAGGGTTTTCTATGTACAGTATCATGTCATCTGCAAACAATGACAGTGTCACTTCTTCCTTTCCAAATTGGATCCCTTTTATTTTTTCTTTATGTCCAATTGCTGTGGCTAAGACTTCCAGTAATATGTTAACTAATGAGTGGCAAAAGTGGGCATCCCTGTCTTGTTTCTGTTCTTAAGGGAAAAGCTTTTAATTTCTGCCAGTTGAGTATGATGTTGGCTGTAGGTGTTTCATATATGGCCTTTATTATGTCGAGATATGATCCCTCTATTCCCACATTGCTGAGTGTTATTATCAGAAATGGATGCTGGATTTTGTTGAATGATTTTTCAGCATCTATTTGTATGATCATATGGTTCTTATGTTTCATTTTGTTTACGTGGTGTATTACGTTTATTGATTTGCAAATGTTGTACCAGCCTTGTATCCCTGGGGTGAATCCCACTTGGTCATGGTGAATAATTTTTTTAATGTATTGCTGGATCCGACTTGCTAATATTTTGTTGAGGATTTTGGCATCTATGTTCATCAGGGACATTGGCCTGTAGTTTTCTTTCTTTGTAGTGTCTTTATCTGGTTTTGGAATTAGAATTATGCTGGCCTCATAAAACAAGTTTTGATGTCTTCCTTCTTGAGGAGAATGAGTGGTAGTTCTTCTTAGACTGTTCAGTAAAACTCCCCTGTGAAGCCATCGGGGCCCGGGATTTTGTTTGCTGGGAGATTCTTGATTACATCGTCAATTACCTTAGTTGTTATTGGTCTGTTCAAATTTTCTATATCTTCCCGGTACAGTTTTGGGAGACTGTGGGTTTCTAGAAATTTGTCCATTTTGTTTAGATTGCCCAATTTGTTGCCTTATAATTGTTTATAGTATTTGTTAACGATCCTTTGTATTTCTGTGGTGTCAGTTGTTACTTCTCTTTCATTTCTGATTTTGTGTATCTGGGTCCTCTTTGTTTCTTGGTGAGTCTAGCTAAGAGTCCATCAGTCTTGTTTATGTTTTCAAAGAATCAGCTCTTTGTTTCATTGATCTTTTGAATTTTTTTTTTTACTGTCATGTCTTTTATTTTTGCTCTAATCCTTAGTATTTTTTTTCCTTCTACTTGCTCTGGGTTTTTCTTTTTGTTTGCTTTCTAGTTCTTTAAGTTGTGATGTTAGATAGTCAATTAGAAATTGTTGTTGTTTCTTGAGGTAGGCCTGTAGTACTATGAACTTCCCTCTCAGGACTGATTTCGCTGCGTTCCATCAATTTTGTGTTTTTGTGTGTTCATTTTCATTGGTTTTCAAGAAGGTTGTAATTTCTTCCTTGAACTCCTTGGTAACCCATTCGTTGTTTAAGAACATGCTGTTTAGCCTCCATGTGTTTAAATGTCTTTATGTGTATTTGTTGTAGCTGATTTTCTAGTTTCATGCCATTGTGATCTGAGAAGATGCTTGATATGAATTCAATCTTCTTGAACTTTTAGAGAGTTAGTTTGTGTGGTCTATCTTTGAGAATGTCCCATATACACTTGAGAAGAATGTGAACTCTGTAGTTTTTCGGTGTAATTTTCTGTAGATACCTATTAAATCCATTTGATTTAGTGCATCATTCAGAGTCTTCGTATCCTTGCTAATTTTTTGTGTAGAGGATCTATCCAGTGATGTCAGTGGGTTGTGAAGTCCCCTGCTATGATTGTATTGTTGTTATTTTCTTCTATGAAGTCCTCCAGACCTTTTAAAATATATTTTGGTGCTCCTATTTTGGGTGCACATATGTTTACTAAAGTTATATCTTCCTGTTGGATAGATCCTTTTAATATTATGAAGTGGCCTTCTTTGTCTCTAGTTATGGACTTCATTTTGAAGTCTATTTTATTGGATTTGAGTTTTGCTAACCCAGCTTTCTTTTTTCTTTCTGTTTGCTTGGAAGATTTTTTCCATCTCTTCACTTTCAACTTTTGTGAGTCTTTTGTTGTGAGGTGGGTTTCTTGTAAACAGCATGTAGATGGGTCATGCTTTCTTATCCAGTCAGCTTCTCTGTGTCATTTGATTAGAGCATTCAATCCATTTACATTTAAGGTTATTATTGATATGTACTCATTTATTGTTGTAATATTTTTCTTTCTGTTTCCTCTACTAAATACAGCATTCCTTTTATCATTTCTTGCAGTGCTGGTTTGGCGCTAATACATTCCCGTAGCCTTTTTTTTTTTTTTTTGGGTCTAGGAAGTTCTTTATTTCACCTTCTATTTTGAGTAATAGCCTAGGTAGATAGAATATTCTTGGATTCAGATCCTTGTTTTCCATGCCCTTGATTACTTCATGCCATTCCCTTCTGGCCTGTAGTGTTTCTGTTGAGAAGTCAGTTGGTAGTGTTATGGGGTGGGGGGTGGGGGGTGCCTTTGTAGGTAACCTGTGGCTTATCTCTTGCTCCTTTAGGATTCTCTCTTTGTCTTGGTGTGTGCCTGTTCTAGTTTTTCTTTCTTGGGGCTCTCTGTGCTTCTTCAACTTTAAAGCCTTTTAAAGCCTTTTTTTTTTTTTTTTCTTCTTCACCGAGTTAGGGAAGGGTTCTGTCACTGTTTCTTCAAATATATTCTGTAATCCTTGATTCTTTTCTTCTTATTGAACTCCTATGATGTGGATGTTGATATGTTTGATATTGTCCCACAGTTCTCTTAAGCTGTCTTCCTGTTTTTTAATTGTTTTTTCTTTTTGGTTTTCAGATTGGGTGATTTTTTTTCTACCCTGTCTTCTGATTCACTGATACGGTCCTCAGCTTTCTCTACTCTGCTGTTTATTCCCTCCAGTGTGTTATTTATTTCTGCTATGTCATTCTTCATTTCTAATTGGTCGGTTTTCAGTGTTTCTATATCTTTACTCATGCTTTGAGCTCTTTACTCATTCTGTTGAGCTTCCTCATTATCATCTTTTCAAACTCTACCTCTGATAACTTGCTTCACTGCATTTCATTCATCTCTTTTTCGGTAGAGTTCTCTTGTTCTATCATTTGGGATTTGTTTCTTTGTTTCACTATTTTGTCTGTCTCAGTGGGTTTTGGAGTCTGCCAAATTTTCTCTGTGGGTGTTGGTGTTCCTCTGTTTGTGGCTCCCTCTACTGGGTTTGTATGAGTGCTGAGAGGATCCATGTTAATCACCACTGTGAGGTCTTAATTTCCTGGGTACATTTGCAAGTCCTGGAAAGGTCCAGTTATCACCCATCATTTTGCCTGGAGGCTATTAGTCTCAGTTACTTGATGAGCCTTGGGTTTTAGCCCTCAGTTGAATGAAAAATCCCTCAGGTGTACAGGGTAAGAGGATTTTCAGAGGGTGGGGCAAATGCTTGCTGGCTGTTAATGATGCTCAGTTTGCATTCTTGTGGCCTTGCCTGGTGGTGTGAAATTCCTGAGGAAGTGGCTATTGCTTCTCCCAGGGTCTCTGGGAAGGGGCTCTTTGAGTAAGAAGGCTAGTGTCCTGTTAGGGAGTGATTCAGTATAAAACTCCCAGGGCCCTCCCATCTCTCCTAATCCCAAGTCTCTTCCACACATTTCCTATCCAGTCTGCCCTCCCTCTTATGGAGCCCAAGGTGAGTAGCTGTAGCTAATTTAGTGCTGTCCCAGCCCTTTGTGCTATGGAGTTGGCTAGAGATTTTAACCCGAGGCAGTTGCTCACAGCTAAAACAGCTGCTTTCTGTGGGTTTCAGCCCACCCTCTCCTGCTTCTGCAGTTTCTACCAGGCTCGATTTAGTGTCTGTATTCTGTCCCTGGTTATGTAGGTCTTCTCCAGCTGCTTTTGTTTCTCTTTTTCCCGATGATTTGTCTTTATTTTAGTTGTAATTTTCCGTTTGGTCCTGGGAGACAGTTTGTGTAGCTTCCATTCACTCCACTCCCATTTTCAAATTTTGACAAAGAAGGTTTTATAATTTTAATCTCAGCTGGAGCCAGGAACTTTTTGTGAATAGAATACATTGAAGTTTGGAGAAACAATCGATATCACCGTACAATGGAAAGATAGAGCTTTTTAATTTAAAATTTATTGCATTTCTAATTTAAGTATGTGCGGTTTATTATATATCAATAAATCTGTAAAGTTTTTTTATTAATGTAAGATAGAAATTACTGCATTTCTGGAGATGGAGGTGAACCAAGTAATGTGCCATTTCTAGCCGTGATCAAACTGGTTGACTGTATTTGTTGTTTGCGGAGAGTGGTTGGAGAGGAGATAGATGCTGATCAAACTTAAATATCTTGCAGGTATGTTAGTTTTACTTCGAATTTGGGGGTTAGGCAGTTAGTTGCTTTTGTATTAAAATAACTTATGGAAAAAATCTGAAATTTACATGAATATTAGAGTTAGAACTTGAGACTTCAGAGACAATTTGTATCTCTGAGATTCCTAAACTTCTGGCTGTTAAGTGTACTTTAGGAGCAAAATATGAGGATACAGGTGCTTATGGAGTTTAACAGTGGTTACTGAAAAATAATAAAACAGTATTTTTAAAAGATGTTTTTACCTTGATCCACCGTAATGGGTTTTACATTGTAATTCAATGTACGTTCACAGTCATATAAATAAAAATTTTATGAAATGTTGTTTATCCTTATAACTTAAGATCCATTCTGGTACTTATTTCATTAATTCTTCACCTACTTAATTGGTTTCCATTAGGTTGTGGGTTGCAGTCTGAAACTGATCAGCAACATACTTGTTATCTTACTAGAAGTTATTCTGAGGTACATTATAGAGTTCAGCCTGTTTTTTTCCTGCTATGTGACCTCAGGCAAATTACTTAATCTCTCAGTGACTGACTCACTTTCTTCAAATACAAGGATACTAAAAACTGTACTATCTTATTAGGGTGATTGTGATGTTTAAATGAGAGAATGTAGATGAGACACTCAGGCATATACATCTGTCAGTGATGAACTGCTGTTGCAAATTCCAGAACAGAATAATTTAAAACAAGGACAATTCTCCTCCCCTGCCTTCTCCCCCCCATCTCCTTTCAGAGAAGAAAAATCTCGCAAACATTTCTACAAAACAGTAATATGTCTTTGAAGGTATAGTATCTAAAGAAAAGAATAAGTATTTCATAATATTTTCTTATTGAGAAGTGCACTTGAAGCTTGTTGAATTTTCTTTATCTACCTTCTCCCTTTCTTAGTTTCCTCTTTTTTCCATCCTTAAGTATAAAGAAGAAAATATAAAATGCCCACAAACCACCACCAGATAACTATTGTTGACATTAAATAAAAGCAGTTCATGCATATGAAGATGAGATACTACTACATACACATTAGAATGTCTAAAATTAAAAAGTGATCATACCGCCCTGACCAGTGTGGCTTCATTGGTTGAGCATCGTTCCATGCACCAAAAAGGTAGCCACTTTTATTCCTGGTCAGGGCACATGCCCTGGTTGCAGGCTTGATCCCCGGTCAGGGGGCTTGCAGGAGGCAGCCTGTCGATGTTTAGCTCTCACATTGATGTTTCTTTCTCCCGCTCCCTTTCTCTCTCTCTGAAAATCAATTAAAAAATCTTTTTAAAGTGATTATACCAAATGGCAAAGATAAGGAAGAATTAGAACTCTCATATACTGCTGGTAGAAATGTAAGACAGTACATTCACTTAGGGAATTTATTCAGCAAAACATACCTACTTATTTAGTCCCATAGGGGTCCCCCCCCCATTTAATTGTGGTTATTTTTAAGCACCATATTCATATGTCTTATCTATGTATTGGTTTTCTTTCTTTTCTTTTTTTTTAAATAAGAGAACACAGGCACACAGTTAAAATAAAAAAATTCAAGTTGCTCTGTAAGGCATATAATGGAACATTGCAGTCCTCCACTGTTCCTTTGACGTACCACCTTCAATGTTTAGCTCTTATTTTGGTTATTTACCTATGTGTTTCTAAATAATATGTGTATACTGCTGTTTTTGTATCATTCCCTCCCCCTGTCTCCCATTCACATTCTGTTTACTTTCTGGAGTGGAAGATAAAGTTGATTTTTTATCATCTCCTTCTCTCCTATGTCTTTCCAGTGCAAGAGCCTTGAGTTAAGTTAATAAAGAATGTTTACCTTATTATTGGTATTTCTGGTGGTAAGCCAAGCAGTATATTATAATGTATGTCATTTTATTAAATTTTAATAACTTTTATTAAGTTTGCTATAGATACCTATTACTAATTCTTTCAAACAACTGTAAAGTGCTTCTGAATACTTTTTCCTATTCTTCAAATACATTATGTAATCTTTTAGTTCTGGATAATTTCTTCACCTAAATCTTTCATGGTGCTCTCCTCTCCTCTTTTATTATTTGATTTTCCATCGTGTTAGGGAGAAGTGGCTCTTTATATTGGAGTTCTGTTATTTGGATGCCTTCTTTTCCTCTGTGCTTGAGAGCTTGATTGAGAGCTGCTCTCATATAGAATATATTGTGTTGGAAATAATTTTTCTTGAATTTTGATATTATTGTTTCTTTGTCTTCTAGCTTTCTTTCTTCATTTGGGATGAACCATTTTGTATGCAGTCTGATATTTTAAAACTTTCCATTCTTCTTTCCACAACTTTAAGGATTGTCTCTATCCCTGGTGTTAAGCGAACTGGTGATAGCCTTGGTCTGTCTGAAAACGTGTCTCTCAGATATGGGAAATGCATGTTGGCTCAAGCTTTTTATTATTTAATGTTACCTTTATAGAAAAGAAATCAGTTTCTTCCTATTCTTACATATGTCTGTTTGGTGCATTTTCTATTAGACAACATAAGCCAGTTACTGGAATCTCTGATGTCTTTGAATAATGAAAGCCCTACCAGGTGACTTGGGGATAGATATATACATAAGAATTAGTTCCCAGCCAGAGAGAGAGGTGACAGAGGCATACATGTTTGCGAGAGGGCATGACATGGAGCAACTGATTTTGTATATGATAGCATTCTAGAAGAGAATAGGTCCTATGCATCTGAGTCAGGAAAAAAGAATCATTTTGGCATAGTAAGTCTTATAAACCAGATGTTTAGGAAAAAAGTATTTATGATGCTTGTTAAAGATGGTAAGGCAGACTTTATTCCAGGGGGACTATTGAGATAGATATAGGGATTACTGCAGTGTTGGGGAGAGATTTTATTTAACTTTGAATACAACATGTGCAAAAGGGAATTTATAGCTAAGAATCATGGTGGGAGTCAGGTGCCAAAGGCAGGCCCAGGTAATCAGACATCACCTGGGGAATGACAGAGCAGGGGAATTCTGGCTAAACCAATTTAGCAGGATTCTTGTTAATGTTGAACAATACAGGACAAACACAGAAGTTCAGATATTGAAGCCTAGTTGAAAAACAGCTCAGGAGAACCAGAGTAGAATTTGCTTCAAGTAGAGAATCTTTATCACAGTGCACTGAGCTAAGAAAAAGTGATATGTGTAGGGAACTGTTAACAGGGAAGCATGCATTTGGTAAAGATGGTTGTTGGCAGTATATTATGGAAGGCCTTGAATTTTCTATTATTTCTGTATAGGCAAGTAGTTTTTCCCCCTAACCCCCCCTTCATTGTAATATACATAATACTTACCTGGCCTTTTCTGGGACTGTGTACAATCCTCAAAAGCTCTTTCATTTTATAAAACATGATGGCATGCAAGAGGCAATGATGTTATATATTTAACGTCACATACACATAAACACTCTAAGTGATCTATAGTATAGCATTTAAAACGTGTTCATGAAGAATTCAGCAGTTGGTTTTAGAAAGAGCAAGATACATGTACCTCTAGTAAAGTTTAGGGTTAGGGCAAAAAGGGGAGCATAAATATAAAACATTAGGGAAGAGAAAGATATATAACCACAATTATAAACAGAATGTGATGTACAGCAAAACAGTAATTAACTTTAAAATCTTAATGAAACAAGTGGGTTGTAACAAAGATGCAAATTATTATTTATAAAGTTCACAGTGGTGGTGGATACATATTTTCCAAAATTCTAATTTTAGCTTGAAATCTTAAATTGTGGTATTAACTCATTTAATCCTTACAGTAATCCTATGAGGTAATTGCTATAAAAGATTCCTATTTTACAGAGCACAGAAATTAGATTAATTGCCTTGCTTAAGGCCACACAGTGCAAAACTAAAATTTAAAAGCTGTCCACCCAGGTTCCAGGGTCCACACTTCTCTATTCACTGCATTTAGCTCTGATTGCATTAAAAAGGATAAAACATTTGGATGTGGATACTTTGGCACTATAAATATCATTAGTAACTGCATGTTCAAAAGTCATTTAGACAAGTAAGACCTAATTAGGTCACATTTGGTGTCAGATTGACATAGAATGATGTTGCCAGGAAACATCATACCAGCAGAGCAGTAACAGGCATTCCTTGTCTGTGGGGATTGGTTAGCTTTTGGCCCACCAAGTGACAGCTCAGGTGGGTGCAGGGATTCCTTTGACGCATTAGTTTTCTGTGGCTGCTGTGACACAAATGGGTGGTTTAAAACAACAGAAATGTGTTCTCTCTCACAGTTCTGGAGGGTCAGAAGCCTGAAAACACAGTGAGGCACGGCTGGGCAAGGCAATCAGTACTTCCTCTCTGGGGGGGCTGTAGTAGATAATCTGTTTCTCCTTTGCAGTTTCTGGTGGCTGGTCTTAACATCTCTGTGTCTCTCTGAAAACCCTCATTCCTGCCCCTCTCATGAAAGGATACATGTTAAGGCATTTAGGACCCACCTAGATAGATGATCCATGTCAAACACTTCCTTTCAAGATTCCTAATTTAATCACATCTTTTGCTACGTAAAGTCATCTTTTGTTTAGCCTACCACACCTGGTTTAGGATACATTTAGAATGTACACACACACGCACACACACGCGCGCGCCCACATCAGCCAGCCTTTCACCCACTTCCCCATTCCCCCACCCCTCTTCCCACGTTCATTCCCCCTCTCACTCATTCCAAGTAGGAACTAATATCTGTTGTAACTTTTATAGATATACCTCCCTGCAGTCTCTATAGGGACATGCCCAGTTAAAAAGAGTGCCTATACACAGGAAAACCCAAAGCTGTGGCATCCTACTAAATATTTATAGTTCATTTGCAGTTCTTTCACTCTAGATTTATCTTGTCAATCGTGTAATTTTTAAAAACCATAATCCATGTTGCTAGTAATAGGACTTACATTCCACTTTTACCAGTTTTAGAAATAAAAGAACTAATTAACCACAAGGTCGGATTCGTTCATAGAGGAAAAAGGGTT